TAATGATTGCCATGGTATATATATATATATATATATATATATATATATATATATATATATATTGATGCATGTTTCATTAAATAATATAGACAAGTTTTGTCTATTTTAAGTAAGTTCCTTTTATATTGTCTGATAAGCTTAATAACATTATCATTGAAAGACGAAAGGAAATCATCATATTGATACATGTTTTAATACTATCTAAGCTTTCGATTTACATAAGCCATTATCAAAGATGACAATTACATTTCAATATATTAAACAATACATGGATAAAACACTAAGGATAGTCTGTTTTTGTTGCATGAAAAATTTCAAAGCAACGACAAACTCAGTTCAGCAAGGCTTTATTTTCCTTTTTTGCTCAAAACCCCCATATCTGCTCAGTTTCATATTTGAAATGTAAACAAATCAATTACTAAAGAATTAATGGATTCATTTTTAATTTGGCATTTTTATTACTTCATTGTTATAGCGGCTACTTCTATTCAGATACAGCATTTATTAACCCCACCACCCCCCACCCAGACCCTTGCTATTTTATCAACAGTTTCTTTTTTATACCTACATTTATATATGTTACAAATTAAACTAAACATAACTATTAAAAGATGGAATATTTTCACAGATTTTGATATAATTCTGAGGTCGTTTTTTTTTCCATCCAAATACATGAATTTGTTTTGTTCATGCTCAGTTTTAAAAAAAAAACACTATATAAAATTTAATATTTTCTATTCATGTATTAAATTATTCAACAACTGAAGGTTTGATGAGGTAAGTCACCGTTTTCTTTGCTATAGTTACATTGTATTTATTTTCAATTTTTCTAATTGAATTGTTCACCTAGATTGCGTATGATACATTATTGTACATAATTAGGTTACAATAAAATTTGTATTTTATATGAATACTACCTTATGAAAATTGAGATGTAGGAGGGTGAAAGGCCTTTTTGAAGATAAGTGGATTTTTTGCACACAATAACTGAAGTAACCCTTGTTCAATGTTTTACTGCTTGAGAATGTCTAATGACTATTTGAAATAGTGAAAAGACTCAGGAAAACTAATTAAGTGTCAAGGAGAATAAGAAAGAATGGATTAAACCACATAATTAAAACCCATAAAATGAGGGAAGATTCTAACCTGAAAGAAACCAAGTGGAATTTGCTAAGATTTAGTAAGACTATATCTTCCCCAACCTTCTCAGTTGACTCTGGGGGAAAATTTGACAAAGATTTATAATCTTCTGAAATTTCAAAGAAGATTTCTTGTTATGTTTATATAAAGTACTATTAACCCTCAGATGTTCACATTTTTACCAAAATTTAAGTGAGTGATTCGGCCTGACCAAATTCTAAAATGGGCAATATGTTACTGAACAAAGGAAAGCATAAATATTTTATTGAAAAATATACAATAAATCTAATCCAGAGATTTGCAAACTTCCTTATATAAATGAGACATGTAAAAGATAACCAGAGAAAAGACAGGACCAAACAGAAGATGAGAAGAAGATAGGCAAAATCAGTTATAAGCTGTTCTTCCTTTGCTGCTACTGCTTTTGTTACTAATAAACCAACAGACACAAGCAGGAGCTCTGATAGACAAGAATATAGTGCCAGGACCAAGGTCTCTTGGATTATTACAATTTACTGTCAAAATAATCATCAGTCTATGTAGATGAAAAGTTTTTTATTGCTTATATACTTTTAAATTCTTCATTTTTTTTTTTTTCATTAAACGCTTTGTTAATTATTAACAGAGTTTGTTGGTTTGTGCTGAGTAATTGCTTTTCAGCAGAGACAAAGAAATTACCATGGCCACAGAGATTTCACACCTAAAATTTCCGGAATCACAACTACTACTGAGTTTGACACTGAGCTGTTGGCCAATGGTCAACTATCAGTCATGGCACGAAACTGTAATGTTTCTTCCACCGGCGTTTTGGGGTTGACTCTTAGTTGCTGCCACCAACCTCTGTCCTGGTCAATCAGTGATCGGTGGTGCCCGATGGAATCTCTTGGTCAGGGTGCCAATATGTGACACTGGCCCGCCCAGGGTCGAATCCTGGTCATCGCTACCTGGTGGGATCCTTTAGTCAGGGCACTGAGTGGTATGGTTGGTCGATGCTAATGTCTTCACACCAACTGCAACTGGTTCAACACCAGCTCACTTCCAACGTCTGGTTATCGAAGTAACTGCTTCAATCTCAAGTCTAACCTACCCACGTTGTGATTTTGATCTTAGGTAGACGAGATCATTCAGGCATCGGGCCGTAATGTAAGATGAGTTCAGACTGGAGGTGATATTGCACAAGCGTAAAGAAAAAGAAGCAAATAAAAACCCAAGAGGTTCAAGTACGTTAAAAAATAACAAATTAACTTTTCCTCCCAGTCCATTTTCTATGGAGTGTGATACTTCTATGTTTCGTAAGCAAATTTTGGTATCTTAAGTCAACTGGTTTAGTTTTTAGGTGCTGGCTTGACTTTGTTCGTCAGTATAACTTGCTATTGCTAGAATAGGTGAAGTCAGAGGTCGTGGAATCTCTCGGTCAGCTTCTGCGAGGCAACACTCTGGTTCCTCTCACTCGAAATGAACTGAACTCACTCTCAACTCTGACTGAACTCAACTGTCCAACAGCCCAAGGACGTTCGTTTATATGGGTACCGACCAAAAACCAGTGTGGGGTTAGACACAGTCTGGGGTTTTTGGTAAATCTCGATTTCTGACAAGAAATATCTTTGTTGTCAGGCCAGGAAAATTGATTAATCCCCATTTTTGAAAAATTAATCACTTTCCATTTTGTGGGGATCGCCTCGTCCGTGATGAGAGCTATCCTCCTAATCTTTTCCTCTCTCACATTGATACCTCGTACCAATCCCTTCAGTGGGCGTTAATAACTTCCCCATCCTTCTCATCAAATTACCTCCGCCTATCACCATTGCTACCACTCGACCAATGGCATCCCAGCCATGCAGGTGTAGCTAAGCTGGCCTCCTTAAAATTATAACCCAGAATTTTTGTTTACAAAATTCTATTTTTTGTCATCGGCCAAAATCTTTGATTCCAACTTAAAACCTCTCAGATCTTTTGGTCACTCGGAGTCTTAACCAGCACCCTTTACAAATTCTATCAATCACTTGTCAAAGTCTGCCATCATGAAGTTAGCTTTTACTGGAACCCTTCGCTTCTTGAAAAATTAAATTCCTTATCTCCCAAATCACGATTCTTCCACAATATCTTTTCTCATGCCCAAAATTTTATAATCACCATATTGCTACTCAACGTGTCGACGCCTGAAGATGACACTTTGGAAAAGTAAATAATAACAATTCTCTCCAACTCGTATCGGAATAAAATATTTCTCATGCCAAAATTCCCACAATTACCATATGGCTTTGCCTTGCCGGCACTCAATAAAAATGATATCTTGGGAAGACAGTTAATATTGATTCTCTCTACCTTGTCTCGGCCAAAATTTTTATGACAGCCATATGGTCTGCCCAATATCTCAACACTTTGCTTTTTTCTGAATCTTGTGTTTCTCTCAGCAAGCATTCTTTTTACAAACAACATTAATCAATTTGCCAAAATCTCACATATAGCTTTTCTACGCGTCTACTGTCTACGCCAATTCACGAGTCTTTGTGAAAAGTAACTTCTTCAGAAATAAAATAAAATCTTTTTAATATCGAACGGTATATCTTTCGAGATATCTTCTTTCTGTTCTTAGTATTTCTTGTTTTAATTTCTATGGTTAATTAGTTAGCCAATTACCATAGCTAAATAGTGTCACAGAGTGAAATCACCATAAAATCTGGTCTGTGTGGTCAAAATGCATAGTTCCCACTGGATTGCTTTTCCCACCCTCTCATATATATTCTTTCTGATCAGTACATATATCATTGGTCTGGGTGGTTAAAATGTAGTCACTTGCACAGTTCCCAGTCGATTGCCTTTTCCATCCAATCATATATATTCTTTCTGATCAGTACATATAGCATTGTTCTGAGTGATCAAAATGTAGTCACTAGTTGTATGTCATTTACAAGACTTGGGAAAAAATTCAGAAACTAGGAAAATGAGTTCATAAGGAAATGAATATGGGTCAGTGTTTCAACATCTTTGCAATAAGGTTTTGTGTTGACAAAGATGGACATCAAAACTGTCTGTCACCCTCCCTACAGCCCAGACCTTGCTCCCTGTAAATTTTGGTTGTTCCTCAAGTTGAAGAACTTCAGGAGTAGTCGTGTTGAAGACACTGAGAAAATGGAGGATGACATACTTTGTAAATGAGAAGCTCTCAAAGTGGACAGCATATTTTTGCATTTTAGCCATTTTCAGTTCCTTATAAAAATAAAAGTACATAAGACATAGCTAAGCTGTTTATATTCTTGTAATCTTCAGTAAATATTAATCATTGCCACAATGTTTAAAATCTGTACATGCAATATCCTTAGAGGCATGAATATTAGAATTTCATTGAGAGCCCTATTTATCTAAACACAAAAAAATGCATGGAAATTTCAAGATTCTCTGATTTTAAAACTATTAAATATACAGATTTGTTGATCAAGAAACACCTGTGGATTTCTCCAGATTTATCTGGGGGCGGGTGGTTGTCTGCTTCAATTGGCTGATTTCAGATGGAATGACTCCAAGACAGATTTTATGTTAAAAATCTGTAAAATTTTGTACTTTACTTAATCATGAACATTTATAACACTTTTATCAAATTTGTAAAAATGTAATTTTTTTTTGCAATGTCAGTTTAAAAAAAAAAACAGAAAAACAATGAAAACAATCATTCATTTTCTTTATTATTTTGCATAAGAGACACTTAGACTGAATATTTTTTTTTTAATGAAAATGCTGTCATCTCATCCAGATTAATTCTCAAATAAAAAAAAAAATAAGGATAAAAAAAAAAACAGTCTAAGACCTGATAGAAAAATATGCTGCATTCTGCTCAAAAAATCTCAGCTGGAAAGAGAATTTTATTTTCGCTTCATTCTTTGCATGATCATGGCTGTGGGTTCTGGGGGAGGAGGGCGGTGAAACATTCTGTACCACATCCAACTTGTGAAGGCACACAATGTGTACCTAAAAAAACAAAAAAAAAATGTATTAGCAATATATCGTTTCCATTGAAGGGCATTCTAATTGATGAAATACTTGATTGTAACTATCTTATTAATTGTCCCCACCCATTTTAGGCAACCCACTACAATGGCATCAAATTCTTAGTTGTTTCTATAAATTTCTGTCTCTCCCATTGATTTGATCAAACCAAATAATTGGTTTGTTTGGGTTTTCCTATTAGATGAAGTATTTCATTCACCTTAAGTTTGATTTTCATTACAGCCATTAAATTCAACCAACAGCTCACAACCATCAACAAAGAGCACAGATAAAAAAAAAAAATAAAGATAAAAGAAGTGCCGGTTGAAAATTGATGGGCATTGAAAACAATGTTTCATCTAATAAAAAAATAGATTAAAACAATATTACTAATATAACTGTCATATTTAAAAACAATAGCGAATACAGTGCCAAATAAATGGAGAAAAATAAAGAGTAAGGTTAATATTCATAATATAACTAGAGTATCTAAAACAATTGCAAATATGGTCACTAAGTCGACATGAGAGGAGTCCCATAACCCCATAGGGTTGTAGGTACACTATACATATTGCAACCACAGCAGCAGTGTTACGTCTTGGGCAAGCTTGCTTAATAGAACCCAACCTTCTCCAGGCTGGTTTGAATTCAGAATTTTCCTTCTCTTAGACTGGTTGCCAATCAAAGCTATAGGTCCCATTTTGTTCTGCTACTTATCCATAGGTACTTGGGGTAAAAGTTGGCTGGAAAGCGTAGAGCTGGAAGAGTGTTCCACAAATGAGAAGAGTGAGAAAAGAAACTGTTGGCATAGAACTTATGGTTACATTTAGCAAATTGATGAGACCTTGCCGCCAATCTAGTACTGCGCTTAAATTCATAAAGTCTACATACGATAATGAAAAAGTTCAGCCGAACAATTACCATGAAGTATTTATAGAAAAGGCACAAGGAAGCTACATTATGGCGGTGGGAAAGAAAGTGGTTGAAGCCGAGATGACAGGTCAGGACCAATAATATTGCTGATTCTTTGGATTTTATCAAGAATCTTTAAATATAGAGCAGGAGAACCAGACCATATGTGGCAGCAATATTCAAAGCATGGGTGAATGGTAGACTTGAAAATATGTAAGATAGATTCTGGAAATAAAAATTGTCTAGCATGACATAGAGAATCAACTTTCTTAGCAGCAGACTACCCTCAAGGACACATGGCACAGTGGATAAAAGCGTTAGATCCAGTGACCGGGCCCAAATAGTGTGTGTTCAATACCGGGTTAAGGTGGTGGAAAACTTTGAGAATGGAATTGACAGGAGATAACTGACATCCATTAGACATGGCACATGGAACTAGAACAGTCTACTCTAGTGAGCGAAATAAAGGGTTCAGTTTGACATTCCAACCACCTGAAGAAGGCTGGAGCAAACAACGGCCGAAACATTGTGATAAACATGGCAACAAAGATGAGGACAATAGTCCAAATAATTTAAATATGTAAATACTGTATCACTAAATCGTAATTATCTAAAAATATAAAATAAAATTCTTACAATCTAAAAATATATTTTCTGGCTTTAAATAACCTGCAAAAAGTTGATAAGCAGTAGAAAACAAATCAGAGTAAGAATAATTCTCTTTTTGTGACATTAACTGTTTATTCTTTTGATATAAGGATTTTTCTAGATGCCAGTCCTAATATTTAACCCATAGCTAGAGGTGTTGTTATATAACCTTTAGCACTTTGCATAATTAATATTACTTCCTTTTCTACTGAATTCTTTTTCAAGGCCTCTCAATTACAGTAACCTTATTGTTAATTTCACTCAAAATTGTTTTCTGTTGATGACAACACAACTATGAAATTCAAACATACTATTGTTTAGGGATCAGAGTCACCTTCAGTGGAAGGATAACTTTTGTATACAGCAAATGAAGTCACATACAGAGTGATAAAAGGTTAAACAGCTAATATGAAAATATAGTTGTTAGGGGAACAAAAATAAGATGTTGCTTTTTTTTTTAATTTTTAAGAGAGGAGGAAAATGAAAGAGAGAATAAAATGCATTTACTAACCAGGTGAAGATGTAAGTGAGGTGATCATTTCGAAGTGTAACGCGTGTCTGTCCCCCTATAGGACCACCAGAAATGCTACTCTCTGTAAAAATATATGGGGGGGAAAAATCATTATAAAGCACTTATTACAGTTGTGTTTAATTCAAAGGAAAAGGAATAAAAAAAAAAAAAGAATTACTTACTGAGGTCAGCATCAAGAAAAATTGGAGCACATCCAGCTGCTTCTGCCATTACCTGGACATCTCGCTGTAACCAATAACCATGAGTTTCTGGATTGTTCTTGGGGCTAAATGGACGTCTCTGAAGAGAAAATGCAAAGAAAATCCATACTTGACATTTTTTTTAAGTCATTTCACCCCAAGCAAGGCAATAAAGTCACACAGATGCAAGAGGTTACTGAAAGAAACTGAAAAGACATTATTGAGGAGAGAGGACATTAAAAGAACAGGATTCAAGGAGACAGATTGATGTTGCAGTTAAATTTCTAAAGATCATCAGTCAATTATGTGCCATGTGTGATACATGCTTAGACAATCATGTATCTCTCAATACATGACTGACAAGGCAGATTTTTTCTGCAGTAGGTTGCCATTTCTTTCTGTGGTAGACCAATTGCCATCCAAGGCTATAGAACCCAGTCTGTCCTGCTCTTTACCCATAGCTGGGGGGAGAAGAAGAGGATTTATACCTTTCCCAAGGATATTAGCACATGAGTTAATATAATGGATTCGACTGGAATTTGAACTTGGCTCTGCATTTTCTCAATCCAAGCCACTATCCATTACTCCACCATAGTTGACAGAAATGCAAGCAGATGGAAGAGAGTTCCATAAGTGAGAAGAGCAAAAGATGACACTATTATCATAGAAATAGTGTTACATTTAGCAATTTCAATTGTAAAATGATGAGACCTAGCTGCCAATCTAGTACTGTACATAAATTCATGAAGTAGATATACCAAAATTTCATCAGAACAATTATGAAAATATTTATAGAAAAGATATGGGGAAGCTAAGTTACAGTAGTGGGAAAGTGATTGAAGACAAGGTGAAAGGTTAGGACCAATAACATTGTACATTCATTGGATTTTGTCAAAAATCTCTAGTACTTCTGGTAGGCAAGCCTGAGGCTACATTATATTGTGATCTTAGCCACCTCCTGTCAGGTCTGTATTGCCTTACAAAACCAAAATATTAACCTGAAAATTTGAGTCATGTTCTTAAATAGCCTCATCAGATTCAGACTTTCATATGGATGTCGTGAATGTCCTCCTCCTCTAGACAAGCTAACCAGCATAAATTACAGTTTTACTTTGGCTAGAATTACTTGCAATATTTATTTATTTCTCATGAATGGCCACCTTTGTGCGTGTTTTTATATATATATATATATATATATATATATATATATATATTATATAGTAAAAAAAGAAAGAACAGTAAGATATATAATCTGGTGTTCTTATTGATATTTTTGTTTTTATAAAACAGGGCTCAATGTAAATTTACAGAGCATAAATATTATAAATTAACTGATTTAAGAATATGGTTCCTTCGCTACACAGGAATTACTATGTTTCAAAAACTAGGCTAAAAATATATAATTAAATTTGAAGTTTTTAGCTTCGGTTTTTGAAACATGGCAATTCCTGTGTAGCGAAGGAACCATATTTTTAAATCAGTTAATTTATAATATATATTATATGTAGGGTGGGGACAAGATGGATAAATTGTTGTCTAAATTAAACAAAAATGAAAATAACACTGTCATCTCATTTTAACAGATATATTTACCAAAATTACACAAAAATATCTTGAAATACTAAAGAGTAAATTTATTCAATAAAATCGCCATTGGTTTTAACCATGGCAGCTAGATGACTTAGGAATCTCCTGCAACTCTTCTGGTAGATCTCCTTATTTAAGGTGGTGAATGCTACCAGAATCCTTGCCTTCAGTTGGTTGCAGTCTGTGGAGTTAGGTGGCCAGCTGTAAGGGGTGATGTGCTCACACAAATTGTCTGACAGCCATAACTGGGTTCTCCCGCTTCTGTAGCATGGGACAGATTCCTGTTGCCAGACATAGGATCTTCTAGCAGCCACCCTCTTCACCCAGGGCAGCATGACCTCTTCAAGGCACTTGATGTGGGCCTCCATGTTGCATCTGAGGCCCTGTGGGAAGATGAATAGAGGGATAATGTCACCATCACTAGTGATCACTCGAAACACCTTTGTAATGACCATTAGACTCATCCAACTCTTTCCAAATCCTCTGAACTGTCTTCAGATTGACACCCAAACACTCTGAAATGTTTGTATTGGAGCTTCCAGCACAAATGCCAAGTAGTACAGCATGGTGTTTCCAAATTTCTGGTGGAGTGAATTGTATCATCGTGCTTTTTTTTTTTACAGACAGTACCTAACTAATCCTACAATACTGTGCAGTTAACAAAATCAAAAGCAAACAATGTGCATGTGCAAAATGAAAAATATAAATAGGTGACAATTTACCTATTGCACTATATATATATATATATATATATATATATATATATATATATATATATATATATATATATATATATATATATATATATAAAAAAGTGAATATTAAGTCAACAGGTTGTTTCTTGCTAGACGCAATCGTCAGGCCACGATTGCATCTAGCATGAAACAGCCTGTTGCCTCTAAGTGTTGACTTCAATGTTCACTTTTATATTTACACACGCTCTATGTCTGATATTGAGCACTTTATCCCATAAATATAGCACACCTTATGAGTATATTCCTTTATAGATAGATAGATTTAATAAGCCGGTCAATGAAATTTGAGTAATAAAAAGACAACAAAATGATAACGATATGGGCAACAATATTGATGATATTAACCTTTTGACTAAATTGAAGTACAAAGAGAAAAATTTTAAAGTCAGAATTTTTCTCCTTTTTCAACAAGATGAGGAATAAACAAAAAAGTGGGATTTACTCTTCCAGGGAATGTTGTCATTATTGGTTAGAGGTATCCTTGCAGAAACTATATTCTCTGAAGAAAATCAAATCCCTATTTAATCCTTTAATATGTAATACTATTTGAAAAGTCTTTTTTTAACTGCGTCTTTATTATTGGCTGTTAAATGAATACGATAAAAGCATGCATCTGATGTAATCAATGCCATGGAATGGTTGGTTGAAGTGTGCAGCAACAGGGAAGCTGCTGTTGTTGTTGTCTTTGATGGGTTTTTTTATGGTTATTGAACTGAAGACAGAATTCCATGCCTGTTTCTCTAACATAATTCCATTTTTTGTATTTGTGGCAGAATAGTAATTAGATAAGATTTTAACTTTTTAAAGTCAGAGCCAGTGGTTTGAATATTGTGTGAGTGCTGGGGTGGGGTATAAAATTGCTATCAATGATGACATGGGGTTTATGGCAAGTGATATATACAGGGTGTCCATAAAGTTCGTGTGCATTTAAAAAAATTCATAACTTGATTTGTATCTGTAAAAAATGTTATAATACAGTGTTTCATCAAGATGGAGCTCCTTGTCACTTTGCTCTGCGTGTTAAAGAGTTTCTAAATCAGGAATTTCCTAACAGACGGATCGGATTGGGTGGACCATTTTATTGGCCTCCATGTTTGCCAGATTTGACTCCATTAGATTTTTTTTTATGGGGACATGTGAAAACAATTGTGTATGCAACCAAACCTAGTTCATTAGAAGATTTGAAAGCTAAAATAACTAATGTGATTTCAGGCATTACTGTAAATCAGTTGGCAAATGTTTTCCATGAACTGCAAAATCATATTAGCCTTTGTATTGCTAATGATGGAGGACATGTGGAAACTTAAATAAAATTTCATTAAAACCTTAAAAAATATAGATTTACTTCTTTCTAATCCTTTTTACAAATTATTTCTATCACAAATACAAATAAAGTTTTAAACTTTTTAAATTGCACACGAACTTTATGGACATCCTGTGTGTGTGTATATATATATATATATATATATATATATATATATATATTCATACATGTTTCATTAAATAATATAGACAAGTGTTGTCTATTTATTTTATGTAAATCCTTTTATAAACAAAAACTCAAAATTCTTGAAGCTATATACATCAAACAGTTGAAACCTAACCTAAACAAAATCAACTATGGAATCTCTACAAATAACCTTAAATGTCTATAATTGGTAACAGAAGCCGTTGGTTTATACCAACAGCTTCCCATACTTAATACTTCTTGAATTCACTCTTGCGTGGTCATGTGTGACGTCATGAGCTGCAGTGCGATTTTCGCTTCTAGCGTTTTATATGCAGGTGTTTATCGTTGCTTGGAAATCATCCATGTAAATGATAACAGACTATCATCACTGTCTTGTCCATATATTGTTTAATATATTGTACAGTAATTGTCATCTTTGATAATAGCTTATGTAAGCTAAAAGCTTAGATTGGTTTAAAAAATATGTATCAATATTGTGAATTTCTTTCTTCGTTTAATGATAATGTTATAAAGCTTATCAGACGTTATGAAAAGAATTTACATAAAATAAATAAACACTTGTCTACATTATTTAATGAAACATGTATGAATGAAAAAATGCTGCCTAAATACACACAATATATATATATATATATATATATATATATATAAAATCAAATTAATTACATATTTCACTGCTATAAATTATGATTCAACTAACCAAAGCAGAATTATGGTTGTATGCTAGGAAACTACATACAAAATTATTTTATCATCTCTGCTATCCAACGAAGTGTAATTTGTAGTGCATTTCAAAGTTGAATTGGGAAAATTTACAAAGAAAGAATTTGATTTTCTCATGCGCTTTCACTTGAGAACTGAACCCAACATTTAACCAACATAGCACACCTTTAACCTGGAACGTCATCCTTTCATTTTTGTATTGCATTGTTACTGTTGATATAAAAAAAGAATGTAAACGTAAAATGAAAAAGACAGTGGTTGACGCAAAATGTGCAAACATTGCCAACACCAAAACCAGTACTATCTAAAAATGTCCTTGCTTTGTGTCTGGTGGAATATGAAAGGAGTCATCCATTATGAGCTTATGGAACATGAAAGGGCCATCACTACAGCCGTTTGGTAATAACAATTTGATTAGGTAAACAAAGCATTATATCAAAAGTGTCTGATTTTGGCAAACAGAATAAATGTTATTCTTCAGCATGACAATGCAAAGATACACTCTGCAAAACAAACCCAGGAAAAAAGATAGTTAGGAAAGGTTTTTAAATATTCTCCATCCTTATCAGATTTAGCATCCACAAATTTTCGTTTGTTTCGATAATTAGAATAAGTGGCAGAATATTTGGAAGTTTAAAACAATCTTTTAGACCATTGGTGGTGGTTGCAGGGGTGGGGGGCATATTTTTTAAAAGTTGAATCAAAAATATGCCTTCTCATTGTTTTGCCATCATCGAAAATAATGGTGATTATATTTTTGATAAAAAATATTATTTTAAACAATTTAAATTATGTTTGTTTTTATATCCTCTCTGGTAAAATGCAATTATCTTCCAAACACCCTAATATTAAATACAATGTCACCTAGTGAATTAATGTGTCAGTTGTGTGAAATTCAAATGCTTGCTTGTAATATTGTTCAGGATAAAAGAGGTGCCAGATTATCAGTTGCTGGAAAGTCAGTGGTGCACTAGCATCTTGCATTCATTTCCATGATTTTTATAGACCTCTTTAAAAAAAATTTAGCTTTTGTTACAGTTAAATGGATCTTTATTCCACCTTGAAAATGAGACAATACATTCTAAAAGAACTAAATACATTTACAAGATCAGCAACTGAAAGGAGGTTTTTACTTTCTACTTTACATGTGTGGACAGTGCAGTGGTTATCAGCATAGAAAATAGAATTCAAAGTTCAAATTCTAGCCTCACTTGTTGCATTCACTTTCGTACAAACGCCTTTAGGAATGGCATTACATCATCTCTTTTGCCTCATCTGTGGGTAATTCAATTTGCCCGTTATTTGCGCTGACTGAAATGGATTAAAGTGCTTGCTTTCTTCTCAGTTCTCCACTCTACCAACTGAGCTGTCACGAGTGACCTCTTCCTTATTCTCTCGTTACGTACTCTGTCACACCAACAACCCTTCTGCTGTCTTCCTCACAAACTCGCTATTTAAGCCTGCATTGGGGGCAACTAAAATTTGCATACGAGACTTACTTCTCGTTCGCCAGAGACTTCCGATCTCATAAATTCAAGCTGGTTTGAATTCTTGGTCATTTTTATTTTTTCATTGTACGCTTGCCTGCGATATAGGAATTTTTGAATAATCCATTTCACTTTTAACGCCAGTCACGATCTTTCTACAAGACCTGACATGCCAAGCAAATTCGCTTTGCAAGAGGTAAGTCTTCTTGTTCCTCATATCATCCCTAGCTATGGATTAAATAGTAGGGTAGACTAGGCTCTCTAGCCTTGGATGGCAACCAGTCTAGGAGAAGGACAAATGTAAATTCAAAAACCATGAAGAAGGCAACGAGAAACCACTACACTATCTTTTCCAAGATATCATGGCAACTCACTTTTCCCAAGCCATGAGTTAAATAGCGGGGTAGACTGGGCTCTCTAGCCTTGAGTGTCAACCAGTCTGAGAGAAAGACAACTCTGAATTCAAAAGCCATGGAGAAAGCAACAGGAAGCAACTCAACTATCTTTCCCAAGAAGGAATGGCAATCTGTGAAGGGATACAATCAGAAATGTCCAGAAATGGTATTGAAAAAAACAGTTAATTAAAACAATAACGAGGAATTTTTTGGAAATTACTTACTGGATCAGTGAGCCGTACAACTCCAACAATCTCTACTTCTCCTGTTACCTGAAGTAACAACGAAAACGAAATGATCACAGTTTTGTTTTAAATATCGATCAGTTGTAGATATATTGGGTCGATTTTATTTTAACACTTTCACATTTAATGCAAATGCTTGGCTCAGAGAAACAAGATCTACTGTTGAATAAGTTTCCAATAACAACAATAAAAATAAGAAGAACAGAACAAAATAATAAAAGAAATGAACAATGTCATATAAAGCAAGGCAATGAGAAGACAACAGTAAAGTAAAACAATTATAAGACAGTCAAAAAGAAACAGTGTTCATATAGAAAAGGGATACAGTCAAGTGGTTATTGCATTCTAATTTCAAGGGAAGAAAGAAAGAAAATATGGGGGTAAAAACACAAAACTGCTATCTTTTTATTTCTAATAGAGAACCCTTTTTGCCCTCCATCTGCATGGCAAATTCAGCTTTGCTTGATTGGCGATACACTCCATTGCTGAGCCAGTATAAGCATACTGGATCTAATGACATTTTCTCCTGCCAAAGAGGATGCAGGCTCAAGCTCTGGTGGAGAGAGCATATTTTTCTTTAAAAATTTCTCGAATATTCAGGTCATAGACAAAAATAAATACACTGGTTGATAAATAAATGGAGCGTCTACCCAAGTTTGGGTATCTACTAGAAATAACATTTAAGAAATAAAATATATATATATATATATATATATATATATATATATATATATAAGGCTAGGATAGGGTTTCAAGCCTTGAATGGTAAGCTTTCTAGAAATGGTGTCTCAATAATAAAAAAAATCAGTGTACTTGGACTACTATGAGTGTCTGATGTGGGATTCAGGAAGAGCATCCAACCTTGTAAAACCTTACCTCAAATCTTTATGACAAATCCTTTGCCAGGCAAGACCCACCTTGCTTTATTTGAGATTAATCCTGGATATTTTTTCACAAAAAAAACCACTAAAAAGCAATTATCCCTATTTTTAGCATATTATAACTAGGAAACTACATAGACTAGAAACAAATTAAAAATAGAACTATTTTTAAATTTATTAAACTACAGGGCCACCAAATATCACCTTGGTATATTCTTAAAATGCAAAGTTATGAAGTGCCAAATTTGGCAAATCATACTATTTTGAAATCAACAAAAACTGATATAAAATTTCAAGAGACTGTAATTCCAGAACTTAAAAAAAAAAAAGGTAAAATTTGAAGGTTTTTCTTTTAGGTGTGTATGATATACTAGAATTTCAGAAAAGTCTGAGATGGTGCCCATGGAATTTCTGAAAATTTGTTTGAGTTGGGATGGAATGACCTCCCCAAAATTTATATTGATATATATATATATAGGGAAACTTAGGTAATCCATATGGATATATATATATATATATATATATATATATATATATATATAAAAGCTGAAATGAAAAATAAAAAAAAAAATATAAAAAATATAAATATAAAATGGATTGCTCTTTTTTCAATGTTCTGTCTATGGATTTTTCCAATCGATTGTTTCAGGTACCCAAAACTCCATAATTTTAAATTAATTTCTTCGTTAATTGTTTTAACATTTAATATTTATAAACCTCCCAAATATGCATAAAGTAATTTAACCTAAGGAATGAAAACCGTCTGGATCATTGACTTTTGTACTTTCCTTTAATGTCGTTTTAAAATGAAAAATAAAAATAAAAAAATAAAAATTACTAAATATAAAATGGATTGCTCTTTCAATGTTCTGTCTATGAGGTTTTCCAATCGATTGTTTTCATTTTTCAATTCCCAAAACTCCATCCAGAACCCTTTAAATTAATTTTATTACATGGAATCTTAACGTGGTTGTTTTATTCAAACATATTTAGATTTTTTGAGCTCAAACCATCCTCCTCAGGTTCACCCAAATATTACCTAAGTTTGCATAACTATATATATATATATATATATATATATATATGACATTAAAGTAACGCGAACTGACCTAAGAATTTGAATGAAACCTGTCGTGTAATTTATTGGGGTTGTTGTAACGCCTTCCTTTAATGTCGTTCTTATCATTCCCCTTTAGCCATCTTTATCTAGAGACGAGACGCAAATTTGAGCAACATCTAGCCGACACACTGGGGTTAAAATAGGAAACTTAAAATGATACATATGACACACTATATCCTCTTCCACCCTCACTTCATTAACTTTACGATACTTGATGAGGTCCGTAAAAACGTGAATTTCTTTTCATTTTCATTTCAGCTTTTGGAAGTAAAGTTCGATGATCCAGAACCCTGTTAAAGGGGTTATGGTGAAATAGCTTATTACATGGAATCTTAATGTGGTCTGTCTTTTATTCAAATATATATATATATATATATATATATACAAAATCCATATCAACTCAACCAAATTCTTGGAAATTCCCATGAGCACCATCTCAGATTTTGATGAGATTTTACTATGTTGTACTCTTCTATGAGAAACTAAATACTCTTTTGGAACTTTACATACTAAGAATTTACCAAATTGATATTTGGATATCCTGTAGTCTGGTACCTTCAGAAAACACTGTTGTTGTTGTTATATTTCTATTTTTTTATAGTTTTATAGTTATTGGCTGTTAAAAATGGGGAAGATTTATATTTTTTTGATTTGGGGGGGGGTGCATGCCACCCATAGAATTAAACTATTAAGAATAGAATAAAAAATAAAGTTGATTATAATCATCTCTTGACTTTGTGAAAAACATTGAAATATTTGTTTTATAACAGTTACATGATACCTAGTTGACAAAGATTTGCACCCCTTCTCAAAAAAAAAAAAAAAAAAAAAAATTAGCCCTTTTTTGAAAGCTTGGCATGTAGTGTAGACAGTTGAATTCAGGATTTATACTTTGCTCAATTATAGATTTATTCCTTATCTTTCACTCATAAAAATTTAAAAAAACAACCCTAATTTGTTGCTAAAATAGTAAACATGTCATAAAAAATGATAGATCTTGCTTTAAAATTTATACCTATTTTGACATTTGGAATCTACGGTACAGTGAACTTAAGATACTCTTACTTTTAAAATACCGAACCTCAGTAAGGGTTTTATTGTCTGACTCAGGGGTTCCCTTTTTTTTGGCCATGACCCATCTAAGCAACTCTAAAATCCTGATGACCCTACCATCAGGGACTGTAACCTCCTTGCATCTTAGTGGCTTTATTATCTTGCTTGAGGTAAAATGATTAAAAAAGATTTTATCCAACCAGGAGACGGAAAATAAACTGATGCAATCATCTGCGGTTTAACAGCATTCAATTATGTTGCCTGGATCATCTTTTTGGACACATATTGTTCTTGCATCGAGAGTGGGATTGACCCCAGTGCAATGTCTTTATCCACTTTTTAAAAATTTAATTCACTAGCATTGCTTTTTATCATGAGTCAACAACTGAGTCTTGCTGGGGTATCTTGTGATGGCCATACTCAACAATGCAGCAGCCATCATTAACTGGTGCACCAGTGTTAGAGCATATTTACAGGTATGGTTTGTAATTAATTTTTTTTTATACCAAAATTCACTTAATACAAAGCTTGAGAACCACTCAAAGTAGAGGGGTATGGTTTAAATGATTATGATGCATGAGGTGTTTGATAAGAATGAAAAAAGAGATGGTAGGAAATGAAAGTTATGTGAATAAGGAAGATAATGACTGGATGTTTTCTAAAATGAGGAAAGTTATGTTCTGAAAAATTAAGACAAGATATGTAGCATAAAGTGATTAAAAAAAAAAACTCTGGAAAATTATTGCAAATAAATTTCAGTTGTTTTGGTTGTTCAAGATTTGTCTCAAATAGGTGACGCCCTGATTAAATTGAAACTCAGTTAACTTGAACCCACTGTATCTTAAACATACATTTATGAGTTCTATTTATTTACACACCTGTCCTTTAGGTCTGGTCTCTGCTTTCTTTTGTTTTGTGCTCACCCAACCACGGTTTATCAAAACTGTCAAACTGAAAATATAGATGAAAAAGTTTAAAGTTAAAAACGCTGTCATCATTTTCAATCACATGTGAAACTAAATCACTTGCTCAAATGCCACCTATTGAAAAATGCTACAAAGTTTTGTGGCAACTAAATATTTTGTAACAGCACCTTTTTCTGCTTTTATGTGCTGTGTCATTTCAGGATGTGGGCGATCATGGTTCTCCACAGCTTCCTGTTCTTTGTAGCCCTTAGTAAATTTTGCTATATCTCCTAATCCATGTTCTGCCAACCATTTACACAAGCTCATTATTCATTGTTTGCCTCTGTCCCACTTGCCTTCAACATGCCCTGTGAGTGTTAAATTTTCCAAGCTCTCTTTTCTCATTTTGTGCCCAAGAAATTTCAACTATCTCTCTCTTATATTAAGTATATGTGTCTTTTTGTTTCCATATTTTTCTAAAGCTTTGTTGCTGCTCACATGCTCAGTCCATGGTATTCTCAGAATGTTTCTGTAGAGCCAGATTTCTGTTGCCTCGAGTCTCTTCTTTATCTGTGGTGAAATTGTCCAGCATTCACTGCCATATAGGAGGATTGAAATTGGTCAGAATTAAGATCCTGTCAAAAGACAGGATTTTCATAACTTGGTGCAAAACAATCTTCATCTCCTTATTTTTTCTATCCAGCCAAAATAGTAGAGTTTTGTTGTCCTCAAAAGCTTTCTTCAACATATCAACATTATTACAGAAACCGTTTGATGTCATCTGTTTTCATAGAGAAGAAAGAGAATTGTGTTTCCATAAATCTCAAGCATCTGTAGTATGTGATTTATACCAGAAGATCAAATCAAAATTAATGTCAATAAGGAGCCTTTGTTCTGAGAGGAGTTGATCTGTGGTGGCCCCAATATGTACTGTGCTCACTCTCTAAGAGATATCAAAATAGGCTTTGCATTTGGTGTCACATCAGGTGCATCTGAGGGTTGACCTGAAAGATAACCTCATAGCTACCAAGTGCAGAATTGGGCCTCAAAGAATCTCAGTGGCTGTCCACCTGTAAACAGGTGGTTAATCCAGCTGAGCTTGGGACAAGAACATATGGGACAACCTGTTGACAACAGAGAGGGAAGAAGACAGAGTCTCTCACATACTGACATTAACTTAAAAACTCCAGAAGTAAATAAGCAATAATTTTATTTAAGAAAGATTTAGTCTTGTAGATTTTCTTAGTCTTTACAATGATAACACTTTTTATCACTTTAAATGTTATTTTTAGTGGATATTTATATTTGAATAGGTGCTGCATTTAAAAATCTATTGGATTAATAACAAATCTATTCTAAAATTCTCTTTGTTTACGCTTGTATACAAAACTGTAATTATTTATTATTATTTATGCCTCAATTTGTTGGGAAATATAGCACCACAACAACACCTCTCCAATGGACGCGGTACTGGGCAATCCTCTTCAGCTAGCCCATGTCGTGCCAGCTGCTGTCACCTCTACGTCAATACTTCTGCACCAAGTCTGTTTTGATCAATCAACTTTTAGATCATGTGACAGGTAAAGAAAAAATATATATATTGGAATTAGCACTGCATCTGACTGAGTATTGTTCAAAGGTATTTCTATTATTGTATCTATGATTTACAAAGTCTCTCCTACAAACAGGCATTACAAAACTTGTGGATTCCAGTCAAGGGCCTGCCTGGTGACACTAGAAGCAGGCTTGAAGAGTGTGTGGCCAATCCATCCCCATTTCTTGATGTCAATCTCGATTGGGGCTTGTCTGGTCCTGTCCCACATTTGGTTGTTGGAGACAACTTCCAGACACCTGAAACTGATGATATTCTTGAGGCACCGGTTGGTAAATGACTGAAGTTTGTGGGTGGTGGTTTTAGTTACCCTCCAGGACTTGATGTTGGAGATCCAGATCTTCTTGTAAAGTAAGAGGGCTGTTGATCTCCAGATTGGCTGCAGAATGTTGAAAGCATATTGGGCTTTGTTCATTCAGCACTTGATGTCTTCATCTGCCCCCCCCCCATCTTTACTGATGACATTTCCCAGGTAGACAAACTGTGCAAGTATAAAAAAACTTAGAGAGAGATCTATGACAGAAGAAATTTTTGCTTGAAAGCACAAAACTTTGCTTCACCTGATTGACTACTCTTCATGGCCAAGTTGGTTAAGGCATGCCGGGCTTAACAGTAGCTCCCTCTGCACTGAGAGACGCAGGTTCAAATCCTGCTGGAGAGTGCAAATTTTTCTTTAATAAGATTTCTCTAATGTTCAGGCCAGTAGATGAAAATAAATAAATATACTGTTGAATAAATAAATGAAGTGCCTACTCAAACACATGTATGCACTAAAAATAATGTTTAAAATGATAAAAATCTATCCTAAAATGATAACGCTATAAATTATGTTTGAAGGATGACTATAAAAATAAAATGAGTCTGTCCACTATAAACTCAGAAGCTACAAGATATATTCCAACCAAACTTGAGAGACTATGATCCTGGGAGTGTCACAGGCTGCTTGAAGTTGACCTAGATCAAACCTGAAGGTCATGAAAGGTCAAAGCTTGTTCTAATGAAAATTAAATAATCCCATGTAAAAATATAATGGTAAGGGAGGTAAATCAGCTTTTGATAATAAATAAATGCAACTTTACTTCCCTTAGTCATTTTAATAATCTATGCCATTGTTTCTCACCTGATATGTCCAGGTGCATTGATGTACTCTGAAAGGTAGCCAAGTGTGACCCAAGTTAACAGAAGACATTCCTGAATTATTTTTATATTTAAAAAAAAATCTTTATGTTTTAAAAATTAGAGACATTAAACATATGGCTTCAATGTCTAAGTCAAGTCTTTGTCATTTGATATTTAAAACTAGATGCTAAATTCCTTAATATGTAAGGAGTGGATAATCCTTTCTCTTGTCTTCTTTAGTGGATTTAAATCAATCATTATTGACTTCTATAAAAACATAGCACATTCTTCATAAATCCCTAAATAAAAAATGTATTGCTAAATCTGTCCAGGAATTTGTTTACCTCGGCAACAACATCCAGTCAATGGCAAGAGACATCAAAATCTGCAAAATATTTTTGCTGGGGTGTCCTTGATGGTCTGAGCACCATCTGGAAGACCTTCCTCTCTGCAAATCTTACGAGGGACTTCTTTAAGGCCATGGTAAAATCTGTCTTGCTCTACAGCTCAACAACATGGACACTAACAAAACACTAAGAAGCATCACTTGATGGAACATAAACAAGGATGTTATGAGTTGCATTGGACATCAGCTGGAAGAAACACCCAACAAACGCCTGTATGGACACCTTCCGCCTATCTCAATTTCATTAAAAGAGAGAATGCTTCAGCTAGCTGGTCATTCTTGGAGAAGAAAGTCAGAACTTGTGAGTGACACCCTCCGAGGGAACCCGTTGCGTGGTAAAAGATCAGTTGGAAGACCACATCACACCTACATTGACCAAATTGTAGATGATTCTGGATGCCATCTGGAAGACCTGCCAACAGCAATGTCTGACAGGTGGTTGGAAGGAACAAGTCAAGAGAACCTGAAAAGTATTCTTGACCTGATGATGGCACTAAACCTCTTTGGGAGTATATTTCTCAAAATAAAATTTTCAAAACACATCAAGCACAGATTTCACACAAGCATACATAAAGATATTATGTAATTTCTTAAAAATAAATGCTTATTTCAGGAGACTTCTTTATTATTTTATTATTTTCAAATTACAAGACAAATTTTTTCTTTATTAAAATTTAATTTGTGCCTCAGAGTTTTAATTATTCTACAAGTCCACCCTGAAGTGAAAAAGGTTGAGAAACACTGATCTATACAAATAAAATGAAATTGTCCTGTTTTTTTTTCATTTAGACAAAATTAGTTCCTGAGTAATGCTGGCTACTTCTGCTCATAATCAATAAAATACTGAAGAGTTTAAGTTGTACCAGAAAACAACCATTTTCTAAAATTATTTACAAAAAAAAAAAAAAAAAAAAAAAAAAAAAAAAAAAAAAAAGATGGTTGAGAAATAAAAGATTAACTTATCAACAAAAATTTACTTACTCTCGATCAGAAAGTTTAAAAGGAGTGACAATATTGAAGCCAATCTTATGTACGGCATCCATTGTTAGAAGGCTATGAGATTCATCAGCAACAATATTTGACCTTGGTCCAATCAACATCTCTTGATCATGATTAAATGTCCCTTTCACTTTCACTCGGCGATATTCAAAATCTGTCAACTCTTCCAAGCTGAAATAAAACAAGATGCAATTTGTTTAATCATTTATACAATAGGGACAATTGTGGTGGACTACTTAGACAGTATATTACCTCCACTTACAATAGTGTCCAATGTATTTATGAGGATTGGGACACACCCATTAGTGTTCATAGGTACAGTATATAAAAAAATAATAAAGATATTTTTTCTAAGCATAAAATTCTGATCTACTAACATCATGCAACATCATTTACAAGTTGTAGAAAAGCAATCAATCAGTTTGATCATAGTTGGAATCATAGGGTCATTGTGAAGTCCACAATGTCTTTAGGAGACTTACATTATGAGTGCTGGCATAGAGAGGTAAGATACAGACAATCTGACATGGAGAGATAAGACAAACAGGATGACATTGAGAGATAAGACACAATCAGATTGACATAGATGGATAGATAGATACAAACAGACTAAGATAGCTAGAAACAAAATGTAATCTAGTTTTTTTTTTTTTATTCAATACTTTGAAAGAGGTCATTTCCCCAAAAAATGGAATGGAGAAAAGATCATTTCAGTTTAGAAGGATTCCATAAACCTCTTGACAGGTTCACTCTTCAACATTCCTCAGAAACATGTTTCATGTAGTAATCTTCACCATTAAACAGGATGCTTTATTTTATTCATTGATTCCAACTTCATCCTGACGATAGGATTTTGTCCTAAGGATTCAGAAGGTGTCTTTATGATGTCAGGCTATACACATCACCTCACACGGTAGTCAGGAACCTTTCCTTGTATTTACTTCAGAAAACACTTACTTTTCAGGAAGAGGGACAACATCTGCTGTGGTGCGACTTTCCAGTTCTTTGATCAATCCCAGTTTCCATTCTCGACGTTGGACTTGCCACGTACCAAGGCCAAACGTTGCGATTGGAATCACCTGTCAAAGACCAAATTTTATATGTTAAGGGACTAGTGCAGGCAAAGACAAAACTACTTAAGTAGACTGGTTCACTCATGAAAAATGCTTTTGGAAATCATTTTTATAGATTATTATTCTTTTTTTATACTTTTTTTGTGAATTTTTTTCAATTTACAAACTGGGTGTGGGGATCCTGTTCATAATATTGATGCAATGGGCACTTCAATGTGGTGCAATGGTTAGCAAGCTTTTCTTGCTAGATCAATTATGACTGAATAGTGAGTTCAATCCTCATTTGATGCCCCAAATGTCTAATAGATGTTAGTTATCTCCTGTTAATTCCCCTCTCCAAATTCTCCACTGCCTTAACCAGGCATTGGACTCACACTCTTTGGGTCCTGTCACTGGATCTAACTAATGCTTTTATCCACTGTGCCATGTGTCCTTGAGGACATCTGTATATGAATTTCTGGGTATTATAAATGTCTTCAGCAACCTTTTTACCAGTGCACATATTGCAATTTTTGCTGTTATCATTACATCTTTTTTACCAGAGCTCATATTGCAATTTTTTGTTGTTATTATCGCTTTTCTCTGGCACACCTTATTACTGGTTCCCATATTGTATTCATTTCTATGCTTGGTCGGCTCAGGAGATTTTTGTGGCCTAGAATATGTGCTGATTCCATTTCAACTTGATCCCACAGAGGGCAGAATCTCCCTTTTCTCTCCATATGTGGTCAGCCACACCTGATTTTTCCACTTCCCCTCATGTTACAGCTTTTTAGTGTTCTTGAAGCCTTACCTTAAGGGGGCAACTTGTCTCCCCTTGTATTTGTTTCCGCAGAAAAACATGCAATGATAACAGCAAAAATTGCAATATGAGCATTGGTAAAAAATGGTTGCTGAAGACATTAGGTTTATAATACCCAGAAATTCACACACAGATGTCCTCAAGGACACATGGCACAGAGGATAAAGGCATTAGTTAGATCCAGTGACAGGACCCAAAGAGTGGTTAAGGCAGTGAAGAACTTGGTGAGGGGAATTAACAGGAGATAACTGATAACTGACATCCATTAGACATGGTATGTGGAACTAGAACAGTCTACCTCAGCGAGCCAAATAAAGGGTTCAGTTCGATATCCAACCACCTGAAGAAGGCCAGAGTGTACAACGGTAGAAACATTGTGATAAATATGGCAACAAAGATGAGGGCAATAGTCCGAACATAGTAAATAGTGTAAAATGACTAATTTCAAAATGGTAATGGTGAAATATCCGCTTCTAAAAAGGAAACACTTGGCATTCATTGAGTGAACAATTTCTTGAAATTAATATTCTTTTTCTTGAAGAAGTCTTACAGTTACATCTAGCAATTTTACTAATGAAATTCCTAAATATAACAATAAAGTCTATACTAACAGTTTCTTCTCTCATGTTTCTCACTTATGGAACTCTCTTCAGTTTCTCGTTTTTCTGTCAATTACAATCTTTGAAAAACTAAAATGCAAAATTATCTTGTCTCCTTGAATTCCTGTCACTTATACTCAATAACATTTTATCAATTTCGTACACTCTCAGTAACTGCTTGCATCTTAGTGGCTTTATTGCCTTACTTTGTGTGAAATGATTAAAATAAAAAAAAAACAAGTCCCCTGTTAGAGCTCTTTCTCATATTGATAGAATTCACAGGCAGAAAAGAAAGAAGCACTCAGAGAAGAAGGAAGAAATTTGTCACTTTCACTATGGTTGTAGGATGTGATACAATCAATGATGTCGTACGTACAGGCCAAGGACAAAATTTGCTCTATCTCTGCGATCTCCAACTCTGACTTTTTAGTGCAATGGAGATTGTGCTGCAACATAATTAATAATTTTAGTGATTCTCAGCATTCAAGAACTGATGGAAGATTACTGAAAGAATTGGGATGGGTTAGTAGATTTTAGGACATAACCCATATCAGTTTTTTTCCTGTTAAAATCTGTCTTTTATTATACTTTAATCTATATGTAAACATTGGTCAGCTTCATGTCCAAGCCTGAAGGTAAATATTGGCTGGCTTCATGTCAAAGCCTGGAGTTAAACATTGGTTGGCTTTGTGCCCAAACCTGTAGGTAAACATTGGCCAGCTTCATGCCCGAGACTGTGGGTAAACATTGGTCAGCTTCGTGCTCAAGCCTGTAGGTAAACATCAGCCGGATTTTTGCCCAAATCTGTAAGTAAACATCAGTCGTCTTCATGCCTGAACATGTAGGTAAACATTGGCTGGCTTCATACCCAAGCTTGTGGGTAAACATAAGTTGGCTCCATACCCGAGCCTGTAAGTAAACATCTATTGGCTTCATGCCTAGCCTGTGGATAAACACTGATTGGCTTCATACCTGATTCTGTAGATAAACATCTATTGGCTTCATACCCAGCTTGTGGGTAAATATTGGTTGGCTTCATAACCAGCCTGTGGGTAAACATCGGTTGGCTTTATACCTGAGCTTGTAGGTAAACATTGGTCAACTTTGTGCCGAGCCTTTGGGTAAACATCGGTCGGCTTCATCCCCCTGTAGGTAAACATCGATTAGCTTTGTGTCCGAGCCTGTAGGTAAACATCGATTAGCTTTGTGTCCGAGCCTGTAGGTAAACATCGATTAGCTTTGTGTCCGAGCCTGTAGGTAAACATCGATTAGCTTTGTGCCAGAGCCTGTAGGTAAACATCGATTAGCTTTGTGTCCGAGCCTGTAGGTAAACATCGATTAACTTTGTGTCCGAGCCTGTAGGTAAACATCGATTAGCTTTGTGTCCGAGCCTGTAGGTAAACATCGATTAGCTTTGTGCCAGAGCCTGTAGGTAAACATCGATTAGCTTTGTGTCCGAGCCTGTAGGTAAACATCGATTAGCTTTGTGCCAGAGCCTGTAGGTAAACATCGATTAGCTTTGTGTCCGAGCCTGTAGGTAAACATCGATTAGCTTTGTGCCCGAGCCTGTAGGTAAACATCAGTCAACTTCGTGTTCAACCCTGTAAGTAAACATCAGCTGGATTTGTGCCTGAGCCTGCAGGTAAACATTGGTCAGCTTCATGCCTGAGCTTGTAGGTAAACATCGATCGGCTTCATACCTGAGCCTGTGGGTAAACATTGATCAGATTTATACTTGAGTCTGCAGCTAAATACTGATTGGATTTATGCTAGAGTCTATAGGTAAAATTTTATACTAGATTCTATAGATAAACATTGGTTCGATTTATGCTTGATATACATTTGTCCTTGTAGTAAAACTCAAAAAAAAAAAAGCTCTCCTCCACATACACAAGAGAGTGACTGGTTACCCTACAAGCATAATGAAATAAGAAAATACAAAACAGAAAAAAACAAATCACTTTTTTGGTTACCTAATATGAAAATATTATTCCAATAAATTTGATGATGTTAATTACTTACAAGCAAGAAGTACCCTGATGGAGTCTTCATTTTCTTAGTAACAAGTGGTTTTGTCCGGGGTCCTGTTTTGGAAACATTTGTCACAGCCATTCGGATATTCATTCCCTGAAACTGGTTGCAATTCTTAGGAATCAATTTGTTGTTCATAATATCCTGAAGCAAGATAACATAAATAAAATAAAACAAAAAACATAAAGAAGACATATACTGAATTCAAGTGAATAAAACTTGAGAGGTTTTAACATGGTTTAAAGTGGATTGGAAAAGGCCCTAAAATTGCACTACAAATAACATGTATGCATTTTTATATGAGACTGCTAGATCATTGTTGAAAGCTGAAAATAGCATTACTGGTGTATTCAAAAAGTTTTATTAGTCCAAAAATGATTTTAATATATCAATCAAGTCTTAATGAATCTATAATACGGTTTCAACAAACATTATACAAGACTCACATTAAAAAAAAGCAGCCTATTAAAATGCAAACATTTTATCCTTCAATTATTACTGTGCGAGGTTTGAATATGTGGCCAAGTGGTTAGAAGTCACAAGTCATCATGACCGAGGGTTTGAAAGTACTGGCCTTGTTCAGACTGTTGATCATGCCAGATAATGTGCTCTCTCTCAGAAACTGTAACTAAGGTCTGCTCAGCATAGTTACAGTATAAATAACAGGTGGATGTTGAACAAACAAAAATGTATCAGAGCAGGTGTCTGCAAAAGGGATTGGCTAGCTGCCTTAGATAGATAGGCAAACTCAGATATAAGCAGACATTATTTAAATAGGTAAACTATTTTTTTTTATTTTCAATATATCTAAAAGCTTTTCATGTGGGTGTATAGAGCTTGACAAAACAATAAAAAATGGTACCAAATTTATCTTACTAGTTCAATTAGCAAGAGTTATGACCATTTAAAAGTTCATCAGATTTTCCATTTTGAGAAAGAAGCCCATTTTGACAGTGTATATGTGAAGATGTGGGCCTTCAAACAAGTGAAAAATCATTATAAATGCAATGTCATTAAGTCATAAAAGAAAGATAATACTAATGGAATTATTAATTATTAGATATGACCTGCCTAAATGGGGTGGGAGATCACATTCCACCCTAAAAATAGTGTAAAAATAACACAGGAAGGCAACTTTGACCATTTATATAAATTTTAATTCTACTGTTAAGTCAGTGAAACTTTCATATTATCTTGGAGATTAAGTTTAATTTTTTCACAGGTGAAACTCTTATTTCACCATTAAATACAGGCAGAGGTAAAATTTGTTAGTAGGACAAAAAAAGGTAAAAAGATATAACTTTTTTGAACTTGCTGTTGGATATTCAAATTTTGAATATCCAATAAAATGGTTTTCCTTAATATTTACCAAGTGGCAAGTCAAATTTTCATGATCTATCAAGTAGCATTCTGAATATATCTGTCAAGTATGTACACAGAGGTTCTGGTTTTAATTCTTCTTCTACTAGTAATATATAAAGCTGTCATAAATTAAAAAAACAAAAATCAGGAAAAATGTTTAAGTTCTCAGTTTTGGAGGCTTTTTTTTTTCTTTTTTTACAGTGATGTTTATTCTGTACAAAGCCTGAGAGCCACTTGAGGTAGAGTGTTACAGAGTAAGATGCATAGTTTATGCGGATACGTGGGGAAGATAACAGAACAGGTTGAGATTGTAATGATCAGGAAAACATCCCCTTAGGAGTCAGTTCCATAGAGCAGCAATTCACAGAAGCTGCTTAAGTGGAACTTACATCTCACCAATGGAATACAAAGGGAATGAGACTGGTTCACTACAATGTGTGTAGCATAATGGGTCTTAGCTGTGAATATTAGAAATGGTGAAACTAAGGAATGTAGCTCACCTGAGCATTTTCCATGGAAACAGTGATAGAGTAGTGAGAGGCTTGTGATGTTTTGTCTGTTGTAGGGTGGATTTAATATTCTAGAGGTTTCTTAAAAATTAACATTATTATGTGTTACATCATCAGCCTTTAAAGCCCATGTGGATTTTTATTTGAATTGTCAATTTATAAAGGAAACTTGTAGTTAGGTTTGGTTTGGTTTGTTTTATGACATATAAACCTTAATGGGTTATTTAATGCTAACAATTCTAGAGGTTCCTTAAAAATTAACATTATTATGTGTTACATTGTCAGCATTTAAAACCCATGTGGATTATTTAATACTAACAAAGCTCATGGGTTATTTAATGCTAACAAAATTTTTATTGCTGGTAATATTTTTTTCAAAAATGTATTGCTGCTAATACTTGTTTTTTTCCAAAAATGTATTGCTGGTAATAATTTTTTCTTCAAAAATTCATTACTGGTAATAATTTTTTACAAAAATATATTGCTGGTATTAAAAGCTATTTTCATACTTTCATAGTGCTTTGACCCCAGTTTTGGGGTTAACTATTTAACCTTAGTTGGGACCCTAACAGGTCTTACCACCATGGGTCAAGCTGGACCTGGGAACACCAGTAATTAAGAGGTGGTTCCACACTCCTCAAAACCTCCTGATCAGAGTCCTTGCTGGATGTAGTTTATCATCTTACCTAGGATGCCTTGTAGCTTGGAATCTTAAATTAACACAGTGGCTGGTTATTGTTATAGGAACACATTTTGGTTGATGCCCAAGTCCTGCAACCCATTAGGGTTATAGTAGTATCACATGTACTGCGACCATAAGTGAGTCTAAGGCCAGGTAACCTGACAGAGTCCATCCATCTTTAGGTTGTTTTTTTATTGAGAATTGTCCTGCTCTATTATTAAAACCATAGACAGAAGAAGAATAAACAGATTCATATTACCAAGGATATTTGTGAAAAACTGAACATAACAAACTTATTTGAATTTGAATTGCCGATTTCTTTTTCTGAGCTGCTGAGAATAATTTGGTACGTTAATGTATAGGATTTTTAAATTTTTAAAGTGTGTTGAAAAATGAAAAGAAATGTTCTCGGCCTGACTATCTTGGAAGTGAATAAGGCCGAGAACTTTTCAGCAATCCTTCATCTGAATTTTTAAAACTACGTGACTTACTCATAAAGAATAAATCTTAAAACTATTTGCCAGCAGTTTTGGTAAGGTCGAAGAAAAATATAAGATAAATAGAACAAAATTTTTTCTATGACTAATTTAAAAAAAAACAAAAAAAAAAAAACGAAATCATCGAAAGGAGATCGATTTCTGATCGTTCTAGTGACTAGAATCTAGTCTGTTGGTTTTTTTTTTACTTTGTAAAATAGGAAAGGCATGGACTCTATCTCCCTACCACACACAGCTAGTGGTTATGTGGGTGCATTTAGCTTTTGGGTAGCAGCCAGTCTAGGCGATGAACTACTCTGAACTCCCAAAACTGTGGAGAAGACAACATGAAACCACTCCACTATCTTTCCCAAAACATCTTGTCATGACAATTCATAAAAAAGAAACGGAAGCTACGTTTTGAAAGGACATGACATCTTTTAAAAATAGAATTCTAGATTCACGACTACGAAGATTTTAACATTTTTAATAATTTTTTAGAAACTGTTAAAATAAAGAAGAAACAGACTGCAAAAAAAAAAATCGAAGTTTATTTTGAAATGAAAACAGAATGAACGATGAGCCTGACTGTTTGCTTTTAAAATGAAAACAATATTCATTTCCTATTTTCAGTGTGGGGATAGTAGGATTTTATTCTCTAAGAAATGAATAGTTTAAAAAACAAACAAAAAAACATGATTTTTACTTAAAGAAAAAAAAGAAGTCATTATCTGCTGAACCTTGTTTTGCCTTTGACCTCTAATTTATAATCATTATTATTACTGTCTCTTGTTAATCAAAACAGTTCAGAAACATTTTGCGATATGAGCAATGATAAAAAAATTAACAAAGTTAAAGTTTTTTATTTTGTGACAAACAAAATTAACATAAAAATAAAATAAAATCATGTTTAAATTTAATAATTGACGTCGTAAAGTTCATGTGAATTTTTCTTCTTTGTAGAAGAAAATGATCGTTAAAAATAATCCAAATTTATCTGAAGATATAAATATATATTAATGGTTTGTTTTTTTTTTTAGTAATATTTAAGTAAAAAGTAAGGATTATTTTTGTTACCTGACGGAACAGTAAACGGGAGCACCTACTCCAGAGAATCATGCTGACATGAAACGGGACCAAAAATAAATAAAAAAGGGAAATAATAAATGAAAATGTTTATAAAGTTTAAGATTGCTTCCCTTTATTCAAGCAATTTCGAACTTGAAATTGAATTTCCTTGGATACGAATATAATTATGATCCACAATTAATTAATTAAAATACGATTATTTATATTTGTTTTGTTCCTAAAACAAATTATTTTAAAAAGATCTAAGATATCAAATAGCAATTCTATTTGATCTTAAACAAGGTTTAATAAACTGAAACACAGCCTTCCTTGGCTTTAATTTTTTTTTAAATCATTTTATTTTATTTTTCAGCATTTCCATTTGGCATTTTTTTTAACCATATATTTCCTGACATACGATTCAGCCTCCGCTTTTGTAAATTAACTATAATCAATTTCCAGGGAACATTTTCCCCATTGTATTAAAAGGGGGAAGGGGAGGTTGTTTATTTGTGTGTGTGTGTGTGTGTGTGTGTGTGTGTGTGTGGTCATAACCAAAAAAGGAAATGCTGAAGGACCTGTATGGACATACTACTCGCTTAATTGGGGCCTTGTGCAAAACAAAGGTGTGATAAATCTTATATTCACCTGCGTCGAGGATGCAGCCCATGTTTGACACTTGATATGTCATTAATTACTATCACCTTGGTTATCACCCATTATATGGGCGGTAATGGTCCTTCACCTCTTCCTTTCTTTTTGCTGCTCTCCTAAACAATATGTACGACCCCCTTTTTTGTGGAACTACTTAGTCTTAGACTGTCCACACTTAAAAAATATTTTTTTTTAAATAAGTTTCTTTTGATTAGCATTCTTAGACCATCCTTAGGTCATGGCACTTAGAAAAAAAATATTGATTTAAAAAGTTAAAGGGATTCCTGCTAATTAATACCTATACCGTTTAAAATTGACCCCCTGACTTAGAAAGTTATTGGCTTTTTAGGTTTAGCTGTTTGGCATACGAAAACTGACTTTTTAGGTGATGTTCTCTTAGTTAAATAAAGAACACACAGATATTCATTTTGTTTGACTTAATGAAAGAACAAATAAATTGATAAAATTAAATTATGCATCTATCATTTATTTTATATTTAATTTATTAATTAAGATAAAATATTTAACCTCAACAAATGTTTGTGCGTGTTCTTCCGAAAAAAACTAACAAAAAAACTTTTTAAAAAAATGTTAAAAAAATCAGAAAATTAAAAAAAAAAAATCAAATGTCCAAATTAGCACATTATTGTAAATAACGCCTATGTCTAATAACTCTGTAAAAGTCAGGGATCGAATAACCATTCGATAACAAATATTTTTTCGATTCTCAGGAAGAAAAAATGCTAATCTACAAAAAAATTAACCCTCCCACCTTTTTTTTTTTTTTAATGTATTGCTCTCTCTTTTAATATTTTTGTGGTATTTTTTATGTCTCCGGTTGCACAGGAAGAAAAAAATCACAAGAAAAAAAAGCAGAGAATAAAAAGTTGTTTTTTTTTGTTGGATCGAAAATGTAGGAAAGAAAACTTTCTTTCTTAGTTTGAAAAACGACACAAACTCTCTTAGTTTTATTATTTTAATATGCATTTTACTTTTAGTAATGAAATTAATATAATTTTTTTTTTATTAAACATTTTTTAAAATTAAAATTAAAAACTATTAATAAATAAAAATAAGAATATAATTTTTTTAATTAAGATTTTTTTTTTTTATCAACATTTTATTTTTATTTAATAACTGGGATGTTGACTCACAAAGATAAAAAAAAAAAATAGTGTAGTAAGTAACTGTGTAACCTTCGGCCTGCAGAGCGCAGGATAAATTTTCGAGATTTATTTCGGAAAAAAAAAAGAAAAAGGAAAGAGTCTTTGACTCTGGAAAATAGTGATATTTTTAAATTCTAAAGTTATTATTGTCTCCAAAGCTTACAGACACTAAAAAATACGTCTTTCTATCCTTTACAGCTGAAAAACTGAAGATGACGTTAATTATGTAACATTTTTAAACTGTAGTGGCGCAGTCGAAAGCAAGCACATTGAAATTACAAGACAGTTCGATTCCAACAAAGAATTCTCTATAAAATTTTAAGTTGATATGATGAGCTGGACACTAAGAGAACGATGGCTGAACAATTTAAGTACACAAACCACATTTAAGTTCATTCCTTACTAAACTTACTAAATATCTAAAGATATATATACTTAATCGAATTTCTCGTAATTTCACTCAGGAACTGGAATTAGATTTGAAATATCCCAGAAAATCACTGCTTTTCGTTATGTCCTCAACATATAAATTTTTTACCGGACATAAATTTGATTGGTGATTTTCTCATCCCTCACCGCAAAAGGGAGATAAATCAGAACGTCTTTTATTTTAATCTCTCATCTAAAAGACAAAAATGGCGGAAGGTCTACAAAAAAGGCTGCAAAATGAAGTGGCACGGTATCAAGCCGTACAAAAAGGTAATTCTTAATTGCTTCAAGGAAAACATTATGCAATGAACGTTTCATGGCGGATCTGGGAGAAAAGTGACTTGTTAAAGCATTTTCTGCTCAAGGCTTAACATTTTTATATTTGTCTCCATTTTTTATGACAATGTCGTCAGCTTCATTTTTCCCATTTCTCATGTTACATCAAATTCGGTTTCTTTATGGAATTTAATGTATTTATTAAGGTACCATATTTTTTGGCATCGAAGACTTTTTTTCTTGCTAAAATAAACATTGAACATTTATTCTGCATTTTCAAGCTTATGCTTTAAACTATACCGAGGGGAAGCGCCTTTATGGTAATTTTGAACTTAACCCCAGACTGAACTGTATAAACGACTTTTTAGTATAATCAATAAGGTAATAATGATAAAAAAAATGTCTTTATTCGGCAGTATCAGATCGGTACGATAATCAATAATTTGAGTGTGATTGTGGGGTGCAATTTCTGGACATGATAATTTATATAAGATTTTTTTTGTGTATCAGTTTTTGACTATTTACTTTCCACGTTTTGATACGTTTTTCGTCAAAGTAAAAACCGTAAAACGTGATTCAAATCGGAAAAAAATCGAACACTTTAACAGAATACTGACGTCCGCCATTTGCTAAAATTCCATAAAGTTGATACGACAACAATTTTAAACACGAACTTTCCTTAACTCTTCCTCAGCACGTTTTTGTCGTATTTTTTCCTAACACTAAGTTTCTATCATGGCGTTTTCAAATACAAGACATACCTATTCCATTGGTTTCAAATTACAAGTTGTTCAGTATGCTAAGCAACATGGGAATAGGGCTGCAGAAAGACATTTTGGACCACCACCAACGGAAAAAATGATCCGATATTGGCGGAAACAAGAGGAAATGTTGAAGCCCGCATCAAGAATGAAATGCAACCTGCATGTATCTCCACCGAAGTGGGTGAACCTGGAAAAAGAAATGAAGAATTGGATAGTTGAAGAGAGAAGTTTGGGTCGGATGCTGTCAACGAAAGCTATAATTAATGAAGCGAAAAGGAGGGCAGCAGAACAAGGAATGGATGATTTTCAAGGCACCTCAAGTTGGTGTTATCGGTTTTTGAACAGGAAAGGCTTGGCAGTGAGAACAAAAAGAAGAGCTGTGCAAAAAATGCCTAATGATTACGAAAAGAAGATGATTGATTTTCGTGAATTCATTGTCAATGCAAGAAAAGAAACTGCCTATGAACTGGGTCAAATTGGAAATATGGATGAAGTGCCAATAACATTTGATGTGCTCTCAAATCAAACGGGCATGAAATGCTCAAACATGGCAACTGTTAAGATGTCAGGGCATGAAAAAAGCCATTATACAGCCGTACTTTCATGTTGTGCTGATGGTACAAAACTTCCACCATTATTGATTTTCCGAAGAAAATTGTTGCCTAAAGACAAAATTCCAAGAGGAATTTTTATTCACATCCACCCCAAGGGATGGATAGATGAAGAGGGAGTCAAGATATGGTTTGATAAGGTGTGGTCACGGTGTCCTGGTGTTGTCCTTAATAAACCATCCTTACTTATGTGGGATGAATTTCATGCCCATAAAACAAAAGCAACAAAAGAAAGGGCGCAAATACTGAAAACAAAACTGGCAATAATCCCCAATTGTTTAACCTGCCAACTGCAACCACTGGATATGTCCATTAACAGAATTTTTAAGGCATTTTTGGAAGAAGAATGGCATCAATGGTTGCAGACAACAGAGCATGATGTTACACCAAGAGGCTGTTTGAAAAAGCCGACAGTTGCTCAGGTGTGCGAGTGGGTTGTCAAATCATGGAATGCCATAAAGACAGAAATGGTGATAAACTCTTTTAAAAAATGTGGCCTTAGTAATGCTTTAGATGGAACACAGGATGTTGTTCTATTGGAAGATAGTGACACTTCGGACAGTGCCAATGCCTCCGATGCTGTCAGTGATGTGGATGGCGACAGTGAATTTTCAGATGATGGAGTGAATGGTAACATTGACTGAAATGGTCATTTATTTTGTTTTTCCTTTTTTGTATTGTTATTTTATCAGGATGTGTGTTGTGGTGTAATGGATATCAATTCGGGACGAGAATTCAGAAAGGCGAGTTTCTAGTCTGGTTCATTACATTCACATTACGCACTAATACCCTTAAGAAAGGTATGAATCCATCTCTTCTCCCCCATATATGGGTTGAATATCAGTGCAGACTGGGTCCTATAGCCTTGGTTGGCAACCAGTCTCACAAAAAGAAATGGCAACATACAATATGAAAATCTCTGTCAAGTCAGTCTTGAATCAAAAGAGACATGATTACCTAAGTGTGTATCATGTATGGCACTTAACTGATTGTGTTATTTTAATCACTATTTACAAAGTTATGTAGTATTTTTAACATTAACAACCCTATACATTTGTCCTTCAATATTTTTAATATTTCTCTATTGGGTTGTGTATGTTTGTTTTTTTGTTTTTGTTTTCCAGCCCTCTAATATGGCCACATAGGAGGCA